TCACCAACCATTCCCATGTTATCACGGTGTATCCATATAAATGGCCCACCCTGTACTTTCAGAATCTTTAGGATTTCCTTACAAGCTGACTACTGAAGTAGTAGTGAAAGGGTGTTAGTTAATACTTCTTCCTGCCTGGGGAAAAAAAGAACTCAAAAATTCTCTGAATATAACTTAAGCAGAGAGCCGTGCTTCAAAAAAATAAAATAAAATAAAATAATAATAATAATAATAATAATAATAATAGACAGTTAAATTAGAATTGTAAGGGCTTGAAATTAAACCTGATGTAATGTAATCATGTTTACTAAAGTAAATGTAATGCCTAAAAAGTCATTGTAACACACTCCTGAAACACGAAGCTCTTGAATGCTTGTACCGTTCCCAAGTTGAAACACACTTAAGCCCCTTTTCCATTAGTATCTACTCGGATTGACTCTCCACGGCTCACCACGACTCTACTCAGATCGACTGGTTTTCCATTAAAATCGAGTACGATCAATCTGCTGCTCGATCTGTGGCTTTTTGTCAGACTTGTTTCTTTGTAGCGATTTATGTTCTCATGACCCATCGAGTGATGCCAATGACCAGGCCAATCGGTGGCATGCAGTCTGACGATGTCACATTTTAGTATGTGTTGCTTGGAACCCCGGCCGAGAAGGTACTATTTTATTACCTAGTACCAGGTACTATGACCTAATGGAAAACCTGAAAACTGTGGCGAGTCAATCAGAGTAGGTACTAATAGAAAAATAGGGGGAAGAATATGTGTAGGTCACATATCCATACACTGGCATTATTTGACCAAAATCCATCAAATAAAGCAAAGAGAATCTCATCCCAGTAGCAGATGTTTTGCTGTATTATTACAATATTACAGTGTTAAATGTTTGAGATTGTGCTTTTGTTCAAACACAGGGTTTTTAAATAAGAAAAACATAAAAAAGGAAAAAGAGTAAAATTAGTATATGAACATTGCAACTGGCCATATTTAAACATCAGGATCTGTATCACCCCACAATTTTACTGGCTGTGCAGGCTTTGGAAATTGTATAAAAAGATATACCATTAAGTTTTGTCAGTTAACAGCGATGACTATGACCTTTACTGAAATGCAGAAAACAGGAACAAACTGGTGAAATTACTGGTGATTTTTCCAAAAAAAAATCTACAGCTCAATCGTCACAGTAGCTGGTGCTTCTCAGCTGTTTGTCTCCATAGCAAAGCACAGTATGGTGGGAACCAGCACAGAACTTTACAGGATTGTTGACCTTCAAAACAGACAATCACGGAAAGAATGACTTCTTTCACTGAAGCAACATGACGTGGTTTAAAAAGAGTTTTAGTGCTGACTAATGAAGACCACAGAGGGAACCTGTTTGTGAGGAATATAGCCACAATCACCTGCTGCAGTTCTCTGTCAGGACTCAGCTGGATCTGAGGGATGTCGGCCATGGAGGCTGCCAGCCACTGTAGCATGCTCCTGAGCTGGGGGTCGAGGGTGACGTGCTTAGGGCCACTCCCAGGATCTCTGACATCTGAGTTTGCTATGACCAGCACAGTCCTGGGAGTTTGCACTTGAGTCCTGTCCACACAGAGTGTCCCTGCAGCACAGAGAAAAAAGATTCACTCAGCCGTCAGCCACACCTTTTCAGTTTTCTAGCGCTCCTTCTTTAGAACACTATGTCCTGATCTGCTCAAACCCAGGTTTCCATAGCACAGCAAACACAATAAGGACCCCCCTTTAAGTGGAGGCAATTGTAGTCTGAGACATACAGAAGGCAGAGCGACTGACTGTGGATGGAGTGCATGCATGAGTATTAGTGTGGCTGAATGTGGGGGTGGTTAAATCCCCGGCAACAACACAGACAGACTAACACAGTCAGCTGGAATCCAACTTGTCTCGGACAGCAAAGAGCAAGAGCACAAAATTTTTTTTCCATGAGATGTCCCAAAAACTCCCCAAGTATTAACCTGTAGCACTGCCACAGTCTACTTAAAAACATTAAAGAAAGAAAGATGCTGCAGGCAATAAAATGTGCTTACCACTTGATTCCTCTTTGACCTCAGCCTCCTTGTCCTCTGTATTGTCACTGTTGGATGAGAAACGCCACACAGGTTAGTAAGAAGACAGAACAGGTCGGACACACAAGGATGCATGCAAAGATATAGAAATGGCAATAAGCACACTAAAGCTAATAGCCTTTGACAAAAGCAAAGCACACAAACACTGCAATCAAAGCACTTCTGATCAAAAGACGTCTTAGACACGGTGATGCCGTATATCTTTCCTGAATTCCTGTAAATTGACTTTTCTGATCAGGTGTCTTTTGTCAGTTAATGCGCAGTGACGAAGAGGAGATCTTGATCAGTGTGAAAGTTGATTTTTCCCTTCTGAAAAGCTACTTGATATCCATTCTGTCAATTGTGCAAATATTTGCTGTGTGACGTGCCAGCAGGTAAACAGTCATTTCACCACTTTATAAGGTTGTTAATCACAGGCCTGTTGACACAGCCCACAGCTACAGACACTCAGGCTCTGCGCGTTAGGATATAAGGATATCATTTTCTTTTCAGAAAGGAAAACCGTTTAAGAAGGTGTTTCACTGTTTGAGACTGCGAAGGAGCGACGGCACTGAAAAAGTAGGGAGAGGAGGCGAACTAAGAAGGAGGGCGATAAAGCTATGCACTCAAAATATATATGGGCATCAATGGAGGTGCCTGAACCGTATAAACCTATAGGTGTGGAGTACTTCCTAGTTAGAAAATCTTTGTGTGTGTGCGTCTACTTGAGGTTTCACTCACACAATGCATGAATCAAACTTTTTTCCCTCCATTTTAACATCTCTTGATGATCTCTTGGGTGTGAGCAACATATATAAAAAAAGCTTATTATTAAAACAAACTCTATAATGCTAATAAACTGAATTTAAAAAATACTTTTAGTAGTTATATTATTAACAAGCAACTGAATATTAATTAGATCACAAAGAAATTATTAACCAATAATCGTCTTGGGATTTATTACCACTAAAACAGTATGGAAACTTATTAAATATTTTCTGAATGCTAGTCATTATATACTGACATTATATTCTGTTACTATAAACATTATTTCTAGACAGAAGAAATTACAATATATTATACATTTTATACCACTGTAAACTGATGAAAACTACACTAACTAAAATCAAAATGAAAGTACAATTACTAGTATAAGAACTAATACAAAATGCAAATCTGTAAGTCAACCTTGTGCTCTGCTTTAATCAGAAAGACACATCAATGTGGATTCAGAATAGCTTTAAGTTATCCTTTCTTCTTTTTTCTGACCTGTAACACGTTTGTTTAACTAAAAGTTTTGACATGTTTCATATTGGAAAATCTGTTGCACTTTTGATATAATCTTGGAAGCTATCAGCTTTAGTTGATGTTATGACTATCAAAATGCACAAACCTGTGAATATTTATTGTGAGCTCTGATCATGGACTAATAAGGGAATGACAAGATGCAGAGATACTCTGATATTTGAGACCTCTGAGAACAAACAGACTGGCTATGTTAATATATCCGGTCAAAAATATCTTATAAAAGGACAACTGAATGTGTTAGCTTTTTAGATTTTCAATACAGCCGTTCAGTGGTAGCACCTAGAGCTGAAATGATACTGGAATTTTCTAAAAGCACATTTTGAGTTGAAGCTGCCAAACAAGGTGAAAGAAAATCCATTCATCAGCCTGAGAAAGGAAGACTCAATAAATGGTTGGTAGTACTGTCAGTTGGGTAGTACATGGCAATACATCTTTGCGTTGCAACTAGAGATAGACCGATCCGATATTACGTATTGGTATCGGTCCGATACTGACGTAAATTACTGGATCGGGTATCAGAGAGAAGAAAAAAATGTAATCCGATCCATTAAATATCAAAAAAGCACCTCACAAAACTTGCGACATGGCGTAACTCAGCTCATAACCGTAGCACGTCTCAGCAGTATGCCTCAAGTGATAGAGCGGCTGTGTGTGTTTGTAGCCTCGCTACCAATCCAGCATTTCATCTCTGAGGAAGTTATCCCAGAAAGAAGTAAAGCAAATGTGTAAGTTCATCTCTGAATGTTTGTAAAGCATTCCCACGTTAAGCTTAACAACAGATATATGGAGCGACTGCCTCTTCTCTCCCCCTCCCTCTCCTGCTGCTACTTCAATCGTGAAACTGATCAATGATCAGCTGATCGGCTTTTCTGTCGCAAGTCCGTCTCTCTTGTTTGTTTATTGCCCACTTTGCACCAGAAACCAGCTGCTGAACAACAGCAGCACGTTTAAGCTTGATAAGCTGTTGTTAGAATTTATTTAATATTACTTTCTTTTCTACTTAGCTGATGGGTGGTAACTGTGCAGGGGCGGATCTAGCAAGGGGGCACAAAGACATACTTTTCTTTGTTATTCTCATTTAAAATGTCGAGCTTTTAATAAATAATTATCCGAATCTTACACCCAAAGTTTTAATCTGATGTAAAATGTATAGAAGTCCATTACTGTATATAGTAACTATTAAGTCTAATATACCCTAGTAAGCTATAGTACTTTTTCCTTTGGGAAGGTGCCATCTGTGCAGTCTGCAGTGCTGTTGAAGAAAGATGTTGAATCTATTTAATTATTCTTGAAAAATAATTTATTTCTGGGCATTTTTTTCACACTGCATCAAATTGAAGTTGATTACGTCAATTAAGCATCATGTGGTGGAGGGTGGTTCCTTATTTTTATTTTATTTTTTTTTGCTGGGAGTTTTAGAACCCTATTAGTTAGGGTGCTTACTCTTTAAAATACCAGAACAGGGAGGATGGAGTAGTTCTAAGTTTATTAGATTGATCAGTATTGCTGAACTATGAAATATTTTGGGTGCAGTATATTTTTTGCATAGAGGTATAACAGAATAGCTTTAGTGTTTTGTTTTGTTTTTTAACTTGAGTCTGAACTTATACAAAATATTAAAAAACAACAACAACAGTTTTATTGATTAAAAAACACACTATATCGGATTCATATTGGTATCGGCAGATATCCAAATTTATGATATCGTATCGGACATAAAAAAGTGGTATCGTGCCATCTCTAGTTGCAACAGCTGCAAGACTGATATATGCAGCCACCTCTAAACATCCACCATGTCTACTACCTGTTTAAGATTAGCTTTAGTTTTCCCTTTGTATGACATTTCCAACTATTTTACATATCCTTACAGTTTCATGAATCACTTACATTCATGAAACAGCAAAACACAAAGTAAGACAGATTGCTAACTCAAGGTTTGGGGAGAGACCCCGCCCTAGTCTAAAAAGGTTGGGTATCTTCGGATTTTGTTCACAAGAAAAAAGTATGTGGGGTGTGAGAGAAACAGGTAAACTGGCGCACCAGCCACAGAGCTTTTGATCTACGTTTTAACTCTCACTTAAAATCATGAGCTCTGGGTGGTCACTGAAAAAATAATGTTAGGAAAGAAGCAAGAAAAATGAGTTTAGGCTTGGCGAAAAGACTGGCTGAGGAGCTTGGACATCCAGAAGGAGCCCAGAGTACTCCCATTGCTTAAGGCAGGTGAGGTGTTTTGGGTATTTGATCAAGGTGCCTTGAGGCTTAACTTAGAGGTTTTCCAGGGACACCCAAGTAGGAGGAGACCACAGGGTATATCCAGAATTCACTAGCTTGGGTCTATCTTGGGATTTTCCAAAAGGAAACCTGCTCTGTGACTAGACTTTAGATAAGTGTGTGTGTGTGTGTGTGTGTGTGTGTGTGTGTGTGTGTGT